GTGTGTGTGTGTGTGTGTGTGTGTGTGTGTGTGTGTGTGTGTGTGTGTGGCGCATCATAGGCACACGTCCAGAGGCCAGCGCAGCTTCCAGCGTCAAGCAAGTGCCTGCGGCGCTGCAACGATGTGTATAATAAATGCAAGTGCATGCCCAAGCCACTCCGCAACTTTTAAGACTCAAGTCGAGCAACCGCGCGGCGTTACGCCGTGAAGGAACCAAACGCACCAACGGCCGAAAGCCACGAGGTCCGCCGCATGCGTCCCAACGGCCTCCGCCGCCGTGTCGGGCTTGAAGCCGCCCGCTGCGATGAAGGGCCCGTCGAACGCCTGGATGGTGAGAATGGTGGGACGCGCGCCTGTATCAGGGTGTGCATGTGGGAATACATGCATGCACCCGTGGCGTGCGTGATGCGCGCGCTCATCAGCATTGCAGAGCAACGACTCACAGGCGACCGCAAGCCCTTGGCTGCAGGACGGTGCCCGCAACCCAGGCGAGGAACGAGCCTTCATAGCAGCAGGATCATGTACTGTACGGCCGCGGTGTGGCCGACGCACCTCCCGGAAGGGCTGGAGCGTCTCGCCCTCGGGAACATCTACATCCAGGAGCCCAAGCACGCGGGGCTCCACCTGAAGTTGACGGTTTTGGTGGGACCACGCAAGCAGTGAAGGCTCAGTTGGCTGGACGGGGTGCTGTAGGGGTGCTGAATCATTGCTTGCCAAGCTAATGTCGACCATGAGTCACCGGTTGTGATGCAAGAAATAAAGCCTTGTCCGTCAATTTCAGTTCTGAACCCTGCGGCACACACCATGTGGAGATAGGCCAGGCCGTACTTGTTGAGCGCCTTGATGATGTAGCTGGATGGCGGTCAGGGGTCAACACCCATGGTGGGTGTTTTTGAGGGGTGGGGGGTGGGGGATGAGGGGAGAGGATTGAGGCTGAAGTTGGAAGAGTGGATGGTGCCACCCACCACAGGACTGAGAATGGCTCTGGCAACCCGGCACTTGGCAGCTGGTACCACTACCTCTATGTAAACACCAGCCCCTGGTTTTCGGACTGATTACTGCTGCCATAGAATGCAAAGGACAACGGCCCCTCTCCTTGGCTCACCCGTAGGTATCGTAGGGCTCTGGCTCGACGCAGTCCAGGAACCTGAGAGCAGAGGGGGGTTGGCGGGCGAGCCATGGTCGAGTCATCGTCTTTTCCAATGACGGTGCTTGGCGACCGCGAACCCCCCTTTGTAACAAAAAGCGAAGTATTGTGGGTGGTGCAACGTCAGATCCGTTGCGATCGTGTGGCTTGTCAGGCGAGAGAGACGCCAGGGCCCAGGCCGCGCCGCGCATCTCACTTGTTAAAGGGGCTGAGCCGGATGCCCAAGCGCGACGCGCCCACCGCCTCAGTCACGGCGTCCACCACCTCAAACAGCAGCCTGAGCGTGTCGGGTTTGTTGTATGACGTCAAAACGTGCGCACAAGCTTGCGCCAGAGACGTGGTGCTGCCTGGCAGTGATGATGGTTACGATTCCCTGCGCACGCCCGCCAGACAAAGCACGCATCAGCAGCGGCGGCATCGCATGCGCGCAACCTTCCGATGCCGGCCCACGACTGATCCTCAGAAATGTACGCCCGTGGACGCGCCTGGCCGGCCGCACCTGGCCCTGTTCTCGAGCGTTCCGCCGTACTTGTCGGTGCGCTGGTTGGTGAGGCTGGAAATGAACTGGGCCAGCAGGTAGCCGTTGGCTGCAGGGATCTAGCACACAGCAAAGGCGCACGTGCGTACGAGGGTGAGAGTACATTGGGTTTGCAAGTGGGCGACGTCTTTTGACCATGCAGTGGTCGTTTGGCTGGAGGGGTCAGGCGGCGTGCTTGTGTATCTTTGAATCACAAGGCAGTGGTGTGGTTATCTGCAACAGGGCCAAGAAGATCATGCGATTGTGGACACAGTGCAGGTGGCATCAAAGATTGCAATGCCACACCTCCACGCCGTCAAAGCCGGCAGCGATGGCGTTCCTGGCGCCCTGGGCATAGGCCTCCACGATGCCTGGGATCTCCGCCTCAGTCAGGGCGCGCGGCATAGGGTACTTGTAGGGGCCGCCCTGTAGGGAACGGAGCCAATATGTGCAAGGTTCATGGCTGGCACGGAACAAGGAAAGTTTTGCAAGGATCAACGTGAGCTGTCATTCTGCAGAGGCCAGGAGACATGCATGCTGTCACTGCTGCATCATGCATCACGAGTGATGCATGATGTAGTCACCTTGGTGGTGTAGACCTCCCACTTGTCGGTGATGCCAATAGCTGAGGGCGCAACGGGGGCTGCACCGCCTGGCTGGAAGTCTGGCAAAGGAGGGGTGCAACACTGAGGGTCAAGGCCTGGCGAGGCAAATTGAGTGATGCAGGTAGGGGGCTGGACAGCGGTCGGCTGGGTGTGCGAGTAGCAGGATGGCGCTATGAAGAAACGCGGCAGAGTCAACAGGCACAACAACAGCGGTCAGCTGTGCACTCAAGGCGGCGTGATTGGATGCGCCACCGCCGCATGGCTCACCGTTGTGAGAGCCCCTGCCGACGTGCCATAGCTCTGCGGTGGGCATCAGGCAAGGTTTTTGCTCAAAACAGGATAGATGAAGCCGGATGTGTGTGACAGAGAAGTCATTCCCTTCACACGAGGCCCCCGTACAGCTGCAGCTAACTACTCCCCAACAAAAGGGCTCTTGTGGAGTTGTGCGCGCACTGCATGAGTCTGCGAGGCCTCCTGCCCGCGCCCAGCGCCCGATGCACCCTGGCAACCAGTGTGGGCAACACAGCAAACAATTTCACAGCTGGCCTGCTGGGCGCCGCTCACGCAGGAAGAAGGTGGCCCCCTTGTTATGGACGGCCTTGACCACTGGCTTCCAGGCCTCCACCTGGGCCACGGTGTGGATCCCTGGGGTGTGCGGGCCCAGCCTAGCGAGGTTCAATCACAAGGGGATTGGGGGGGAGGGCGTGGGAGGATTTTGTTTAAATATGTAGATGGTGGAAGTGGGGTAGGCAGGGGTCCATTTTGGTGCCAGGTCGCAGCAAGGCTTCGCGCTGTTTTTTGGGCATCTGACGAAGCTGGCGCGCAGCAGCTGCTGTTTGGCACGCACCCGTACGCCTCTGGGGAAATAGCAGTGGCCTCTGAGATCATCAGGCCGCCATCGGTCGCCCTCTGGCTGTAGTACAGCGCCGCCTGGGGTACTGGAACGTTGTTGATGGCGCGGCTACTGCGGTGGCGGGCGATGTGGGGTAGTGCAAAGGGAGGCAGACGGACCTGGTGGGAGGCTCGAAATGCTTCGAAGCGCTCGGTGCTGCCCCAGCAGTGCAAATTCTGCCTGTCTTCACCGTATTGCGTAATTGTCAACAGGGTCAGCCGCACGCAATCAGCCGGGTTGCTGGTATGCACTTGGCTGACCCCGAGCCTTGGCCGGCGCACGCGCGCCCCAACTGGACTACCACACATCGGCCCACAACCCTGCCTCTCTGCTCACGCGAGCGCCGCCTCGGCTGCCCCTCTTAGGCATCTCTGCATCTATGTTACATATTGCCCCTGCACATGCCCTTGCAACTCTGTCCCAAGCACCCTCGGCGTGAGCTGCATGGGTGCATCACTGCAGGCACTCCAGGTGTCACCCGGTGGACCGCTCCCAGCACCATCCAGCCAGCACTCCACTCACCGGGTGAGGGGCGCGTAGACGATGCGGTGCTTCAGGTCCTTGCCGCCTATCTTGATAGGCTGGAACAGCAAATCCGCATTGACTGCTGACATGGTGGCCGCCTGGTTTTGAGCTGATGCACAGGCCTGTATGCTGGCTGATGCACGCAGCACAAGAGCAGGCGGTCGCACCAAGACGTCAAGGGGGCTACAAGCGGGTGACGAGGCAGTATAATTAATTTTTTGCGATGAATGCGCGTGCCGAGGACGTTATGGGGCCCCGCCGAGAGCGCGTTCGTTGCCCGTCAGCGAGATCGCGGCGCTGCTCACCGCGTCCAGAGAGGGCGATAACACCTGTTACCGTTTGATTGTATGACCTGCAAGGCAGGCCGACTGCGCACCATTGGCTGTTTGTGATGGCTTTGATGTCGGGGGTTACGACAGTTGACAGGATCACTGTCATCATGCGATGAAATGCTGCCCTAGGGGCCAGCACTCCAGCCTCCAACGCAGTGGATTGGAAGCTTGCTGTGCCAGCGTGTTCTGGGATGGCGCTCCACAAAACGACCTTCTCCTTCTACACCACCACTGACTGGTTGCACACACTCGATCTGCTGACTGTGCGGATGCCAGGGTGAGGGGCGATCAGGCAATATCATCAATGCTTGGTAAGGGCGCTTGAAGGAATGCTGAAGGCTGAAGCGCATGGCACGCCTCTGGGTGAGCGCTCCTCATGGCTGGCGCGCGGCGCGCCTTCACGGCGTGCTGCAATCATGATGTAGCAAGATCGGCGCTCCAGGGTTGACGCGAACATATGTGCGTGAGAGGGGGCCAGGCGGATGGATTTCAATCAGGGAATCAGGGAGGCTGAGGCCGTGTGATTCAGGGAAGCTCAGGTCGTGTGACGCAGCTGAGCAAGACAGGGGCCCCTCAGTTTCAACGCACATTGGCTGAGTCCACAGACCTGCGTTTCCACAGGGGAATGAGCCCGTCAAATCCCGCCCAGATTGATGAACACCATGAACATTCCCTCCTAAATGAGCGTTACACCTGTATGTCAAGAAATCAAGGGCTTCGACAGCAGATGGACGGGCGCCTCAATTACTGCCCACATGCGCTCGTCAGGCGCACCAAGGTGCATACTGTCACGGCCAGCCCGCCAGCCAGGCAAGGGGCGGCTGCGCGCAGGAGGCGCGCGTCAGTTCTGAAACAGATGCGGCGACCCTGGCTGGCCCGGGAAGGTGCCAGGCAGCTGCCGCCGCGGATTGGGTTTCTCCCGGCTGCCGATCTGCGCCTGGGCGGGGTGTTTACCCGCGGTTTGTGCGCTTGGGTGGCCCCCCCAAGAAGGGTAATACAAGAGGAAAAACAATGACGCAAAGCTCAATGGAAGGCCTGACGAGGATGAGGCAACGCCGGCTCAAAAGCAGGAACGGCTTGCAGCATGGCCACCCCAGCTTGCCAGGCTTGACTGTGGTCAAACCAAAACAAAACAATAACAAAACGGCCGACCAGATTGGGGGGGGGGGGCGGCGGGCGCAGAAGCCCCAACTGTAACAGAGAGATCGCCTCAGGTCTTAGCCATATCACATCTGCTGCATGCGGCCCTTGGCCAGTGGGTCAACATCGTCTAATGCCACGTTTGTCAGCAGCCCGCCGTCCTCCCCGCCGCTGCTCAGCCGCGCGATGCGCACCGGGGAGCTCCCCGCGCCAGCCGCGATGCCCGTCGCGCCCCTGCCGCCCGCGCCCAAGCCGCCGCCGTTCGCCGCCGCCGCGCGCGCCGCGGCCAACACGGCCGCGCGGATTGGCGCCAGCCCGCCTGCGCCCGCCGCCAGCGCCGCCGGCGCCGCGACCGAGTCCGGGGCCACGCCCGTCCCCAGCAGGCCGCCGCCGCCGCCGCTGCCCTCGTGAGACGCTTCGTCCGCAGCGGCTGCCTTGGCCTTGGCCTTCGCAAGGTCCGAGGTTGGGCCGCCTGCGTGTCCAAGGTTGGCATCGTCCTCGAGTGCCTTGATCTCGTCCTCATACTTCTTTTCAATAAGTGCGATGCGCTCGTACTTGGAGGACCACGTGTTGGCGATGAATGAGTCGATGAACAGCTGACGGGTGGAGGGGTGGACAGGATTTTGGAGGGGCATGAACGCGGTTTGGGAACAGGGATGGCAAGGAGATTTTGGACAGTGAGGACTGGGATCTTTGTGCTTTTTGGAGATGGAGTGGGAAGGCGGATAAACGCCATCATGCGGGTCAAACCACGCAAATGCTGAAGGATCAGCATGCGCAAAGCACGTGCTTGATAAATTCAAAAACTGAGAACCTCCTCCGCCTACATCCCTGCTATAGAACCCACCTGCATGATGTAGAACACAATGCAGGGGATGGTGATCAGGCCCAGGTTGCCCACGGTCGAGTCAAAGTAAGAGATGATGGTTGCTGCCGTGGGCAGGTTCTGCTCAGGGTTGAGCGTGCAGGGGTGGCGGGACGGGAGTGAGTTACTAGCATATAAGCCGTTGCTACCGGGGGCGGGCAGGGAGCCTCAGCAGCTTGCACAAAGCGCATGAAGCGTGAAGGAGGCGGCGCGATGCAGCCAGCACTTGAGCCGCATACATGATGATGGCGTTGCTACCATATTCCCGCCCGTCGCACCTTTTGAGAGGCCATGATGATGATGGCCTTGCGCTCCGCCTCGGGGAAGCGCAGCAGCCACGTCACGATGATGTTGAACATGAGGAAGATGAAGTGCAGCAGGATGGCCGCGAGCGCTGCCAGGAACACGTCCGCCGCCTCTTGCTCCACCAGGACCTCCCTCGCTGCGCTGAGCTTCTGCCACACGATGATTGTGATCTGGAGGTTGTTGATGAGGTACAGCGGCGCCTTGACCTTGCAGATGTGGTCCCTTTGGTCGAGGAAGGTGGTTTCGGCGGATGCGTGATGGTGTTTCATCGCAGTCAGTTGGATGGGCTCAATCTGGGTGCGGCCAAATGCTCAAGCCCAGCATGCCCTCCCGCCATGGGGCACCTCGTTGGGCAAGGACATTGCTCGGGGCCATGTGCAGCTGGTTTGACCGTCCTCACCCAGACCCGCTAGCAAGGCTCACCTGATGGGCTTGACTGCCTCGCGAATGGCCTTGCCCACAAGGACCGGCATCAGGATCGACACCCCAAGCTTGACCAGTAGGTCCAAGCTGTTAATTTTGGCATCGGTCAAACTTCCAAGCACTGCCTTGACCATCAGCGGCGCCGTGACGATGCCGGTCACGTTGCCGGCCACCGTGAACAGGAGTCCCAGCGCGCCGTTCCCATAACCTTGGATGACGAGTGTGACGCCTGACGACAAGCTGGAGGGGACGCACGCCATGACTGCCAGGCCGAGCGCAAACTCCGGCGGCTTAAACGGCAGCCGGACGGCCGCGAAGCCGAAGAGCGGGCTGAGGATTAGCATCGACACCATGCCGAAAAGGACTGCCTTCCAGGCCTTCACGGCTGCAAAGAGCTCAGAGCTGTCCAGGGTGATGCCGAAGATGAAGAAGATGATGGCCATGTTGATGGTGGTTACGACCTTCCAGCCATTCACCTGTGGAGTTGGTGATCAGGAGCCAGCGGTTTGTGAGACGACGTTGGAGAGTCAAATAAGCCTGGCGCATTTGGCGCCTTATCGCGCAGTCGTCACCGCTCGGGACACTGGCCTCAGCAATAAGGATGGCCCCCGCAGCCCAGCTGCTTTACGGGGTTTGCTGGCCTGCAGCCACTCCTTGCTGGCCTGCAGCCCTTGCAAACAACCCTGGTCGGGTTGCTGCTGTAATGCATTGCCTCTGCTTGTGTTGCTGCTTCTAATGCTGCTTCTACTTGTAAAGCTGCTGTCAATGCTGCTGCTGCTGCTGCTGCTGCTGCTGCCGCCGCCGCCGCCACCGCTGCCGCCGCTGCCGCCGCTGCCGCACGTGCCATTACATCTCAGGCAGCAGCCTCCGCGCACCATGTAGTGAGCGACATGCTCCCCAGGTTCGGGCCAAAGCATGGACACAATAATGGCCAAAAGGAATCCTGTATGAATTTTATACAAAGTATGGGGGCGTGTGCATTGTGGTTATCAGAGGTGGTCACACCAAACTTTCGGTATGCATTTGCATTCAAGCACGGTTTGCCAGGCAGCATGCTATCGGCATAAGTGCAGCTGCAGCATACACCACTATGTATATACTGCACACAAAGAATTTTTTACTGCATCCTCCTGTTTTCAGCTGCATCCGTTTCTGAGCACTGCTGGATCGGATGCCTCCATGTGGCAGCAGCATTCGCAGCGGCTGGACCCAGGCTGCAGCAGCAGCGGTGTGCGCACGCACACGCACCCAAGGGCAAGCTCTGCTTGAATAACCATTTCTTGATCTTCGCTGCCTTTGTGTTTCTGCGCATGTAAGGACAATATGCGTCATAGGGGCATGGTTGCTGCAACGTTCTCGCTGGGACACCACTTGCGCCAGCAAAAGAGACCGAACGGCCACTCACGCTACTGGAGCGTCATGATGGTCCCCCATATTGAACTTCTATCGCGCGAAGATGCCCGAAATCTACGCAGGACCAGCAGATTGAAACCGCTCGTGCTTTGGGCTGTTGATTCACCGATAAGGCTGATAAAATCGATCGCAAAACTTTTATCAATTTTGTCGTACCACAGGCGCAGCGGTCATGTAATGCAGCACGGCATGAAGCTTGCGAGCAGCTGGGGCACCGCACCAATGCAGCACTCCCTGCATGGCTGCTATGATAAGTACGGGAACCCCTCCTTCAACTCCCGCCCTCACATTTCCCCAAATCACGTTCTACAATTACCCTTTATTCTTAACAAGAAGCTCCTGCCTACTGTGCACGGCGACCACTGTCTCATTGCATCGCGCTACGACGCTCCGCGGCGCGCCGCGCCGTGCTGCTGCACAGGCCATGCCGCGCTGCTGTGCAGGCACGCCGCGCAGCTGCTCCCCTCGCCGCCGTCAACTGAAGTAGATGGACAGCACGAACCGCGTCGGGTTGAACCCAAACAGCACCGCCAGCGGCAGCGCGACGCAGATGAGCCCGATCGGCCACAGGAACACCTCCGTGCGTTCCAAGAACGGCAGCGCGCTGTACCCCAGGAAGTTTAGGTAGTGGTAGTGGCTGAAGGCCGCCGCGTACAGCACGCACGCCAGCGCGGCGGGCGCCCAGGCGCGCCACAGCAGCAGGGGGCTGAGCAGGAACTGGAAGACTGTGGGGGGTGCGAGGCGCGGCTGCAGTGGTGGGGTTGTTTGACGCGTGGTCAGGCGGGACCCAAGGGTTTCGCGGCGGTGGGCACTGAGGAGCCATGTCAAGAGCTCTGCACAAGTGCATGGAGAATGCTGGACGCATGCGAGCGGCGCGTCGGGCCTGGAGGCACCACCTACCATAGAGCAGGAGGAAGAGGGGGAAGTACGAGTTGCAGTGGACGTCGAACGAGTAGAGCCTGCGATGGCACGCGGCACAGCAAGGCGGCACGCATCGGCCTGATGCTAACAGCTGAATATGCCTCAGGTGCGTGCCGTGGCAAACTGCTGCAGACGCACAGGCGGCCTGTCGCCCCGCCCGGTCTGGTGGGTTGCGAGTGGGCGCCCGCCAACCCGCCATGCCCTGGCGCTCGCTGCTGCCTCGACGGCCTCATCAGCCCTTCCGGAAACGGCCAAGCCAGGACGACTCACCACTCCACGTGCTGCTCCACCTGGTGGTGCGGCAGGTTGCGTTTCCGCAGAAACCGGTTCGATATGAACCTGCGGGCCGATGCGGGAGGAGCGGCATGGGGCTGACTGTGCGTTCGGTCCGACGGCTTGTGCCTTTGCAAGGGCGACTGTGCAGTCGCCGTGATAGCGTCGCTCCGGCATGCAGTCCTGCTTTATTCCAAGCATGAATCGATTTTCAAAATAGGGCTCCCCAGTCGCTGCCAAGAAAGCCCTTGACCAATGGCACCCACCAGGAAGCCGAGGATATGGCCAGGCCGATTAGCAAGAAGTCCACCACCACTGCCGACAGGATGCTGAGCAGGCTGTGCCAGAGGCTGTGCCCATAGCTTCACACAAGAGAACACCAGGGGGCGCAGTGCAGTGTGGGCTCACATCAGGGCCGCTGGCTTGAGGGCGGCAGCAAAGCAAGGGGTTGTGGTCAGGCACGGCTTTGGCAGCAAAGGACAGCAACTGCAGCAACCGCAGCATCAGGCGTGGCATCGGGAGCCGCGTTCTCACGTGACGCAGTAGGCCGCCGACGCGCCCGCCAGCAGCAGGCAGCACACGACCACAAACGCGGGGTCGTCCCGCGCCCACTGGTTCTTGGTCTGCTTCTGATACGAGGTGTGGCGGTAACTGCACAAACAGCAGCAGCAAGCCAAACACAGGGCAGTTACACGGCTGCAACAATGATCAAGACCTGCAGCCGCATGAAAACTGCCTGCAAGCAGGTGTGTCTCTGGACAGAAAGGCAGCCCTTCTGCCGGCCGGGCAGTCCCCAGCATTCACAACACGAGTCCTTCCGCCGCCAAGGCAGCCCAAGTGTTTAAAACAACGGCAGCTGCGGGTGGAGCCGCAGACTGCGCAGCCTGACTGCTCACGCTGTTTTTGGCGATATGCACAGCTGCAGCATGAGCCAGAAGGTGTACCTGGGGAATCAGAAGGACGTATTGATCGGGGGCCGCGGCTGGCGCAGTGCACGCACGTGCCGTTGCCAGGCACTCCCATGTGTCCGGCTGCAGCCCGACACTTACATAGTCATAAAGCCTCCGCCATTGCAGTGTAAATCAGGTGTACGGTTGTTAAACCATGCCACACCCATGCGCATGCACATCTGCAGCATGTGCGGTGCAAGCCGCGCCGCAACTTACTCAAAATCCATCTGTCGCGGCTTGACGATCCGCCGAAAGTACGTTGAGAACGATCCATGTCTGCTGCCGCGCTTGGCCTGCCCCGTGCTGGCGGTAGTCGACGCGGTGGTGGGCAGCATCGCGCCGCGCCGCGCCGGGCCCGCGGACGATGCAGCTGTGCTATCGCTGCTGCTCCGCTCCGCTGCTGCTGTTGCGCGCAAGGGTGTCCGGATAGGGTGTCCACGGGTCCCGTGATAGTTCTGTACCGCAAGATTGACGCTTACTATAGCTATGGGTGATGCTATGCAGGTCAGCCAAGCGAAGCAATGCAGTGTTGGGGTCCGGTTGCAGTGTGATGTTGCGTGGCAGTGTGGTTTGTGATCGGTAATGTGACGGTGATTTGAAATCGATCCTGGGATTGTTGCATGCACAGGATCGTGGTGGCTAGAAAAGCACAGAGCTTGCAAAGAGGCACCCGTCACCCACGAGATCACTTTGAGACTCCCGTACAGCGGGCCTAAACCTTACGCTTCCTTACAGGTTTTCATACAAACAAAAGGACGTACACAGAACTAGCGTGGCCCACAGACGGCGCAAGTCAAAGGTCTGACCTCCCCGCGGCTAGAGGCGAGCTGAATGACCGCGGGAAGTAGGGGAATACAGAATTTGGTGTGCTTGCAGCAGAATCAGGCGAGGCCGGCTGCTGCAGGTGCCGGCGATCTGCCACCCGCTGATCAGGCGCGCGGTCTGCGCCGCTCGCGGCCATCTCCACGGTATGCAGGGCCTGCAAGGTGAGGAATTGTGACAGAAGGAATGTCAATTCAGGCAGACTAAACCTGGCTCCGGGTCTGCGGCCTCAGCAGCGGGAGGATGGCGGCGTCAGGTGGCGCCAGCAGCGATGCGAGGAAGGCGTTCGTTGTGGCTACGATCGCCGGAGCCATCGCGCCGCCGGAGCAACGGGTGGGTGCTTGGATCGCTCGCTTGGAGCTGAATGCACAGCTCGTGGCACTGTCTTCATATGTGCCTCTTGCGGTCTGCATTGCACCGTGCGGCCGCGGTCCCAATGTCGACACCCGGAGACGCGGCGCGCGGCAAACCTTCAGCAGTGCGCGTCCCGCCGCACGTGCGTATGCATGCGCAGGACGCGTACGCGTCACACCTGGCGCGGGACGATGGCGGCGCCATTGCTGGGTTCCTGGATGACCCCACAGTCCGAATCCTTACGGTGAGCACTCCTCACCAGGTTTGAAGGCTGTGCACGGCTACCACCACCGCACGCATGCGCGGGGCACCAAGCGCACAGGCAGGCGGCACGTCCACAAATTGCGCAACTCTAGCGCGAGCTGGAGGTGCGCCTTGCCGCTCCGCGCGCAGGCGAGCGTCGCCCGCGGCGCGGCGGGGCAGCTGCAGGTCCGGCTGGCCAACAGCTCAGACTTTCCTGCCGGCTGCCAGCACCAGGTGGGCTGTGGTGGCGTCCAGCAGCAGACGGCATGGGCGGCCGGCGCCTATCACTATCAAGCCTGCGCCTGCCGCAGTCGTGGAGGCGGCGACGATGCATGCATGCAATCCTGCAGGTCGTAAACCGATGCAGCCGGCGCTCTGCGCGAGCCCGGGCCGGCCCCATGCGCATGCGACGCCCATGCGCGCCACGCCATGCGCCACGCGCTGCATGCTGTGCATGCTGCAGGTGACCATGCTAAAGCAGGCGGAAGGCCCCGTCCTGGCCAGCGACATCCCCCACAACATACGCATCACGACCACGACGCAGTCGCCGCTTTCGAGGCAAGCACGAGCGTGCCCGCTGTGTCATGTTTCCCGAGTCTCCTCTAGGGCCGAAAACTGATGTGCTGCTGCAACACTGTGTGCCTTGCGCACATGCGAGTGGGTTCTCACAACCTTGAGACCCAGCAACCCATCGAAGCCGTGCTTTTGCAGCGTCACCCAGGGCCGACCGCCACCACACACCCGCGCAGCCTGTACCGCCTGCTCTCAGAGCTGTACTGCCCGATGCTGGGCCTCGGCCCTGGCCAGAGCCAGCAGCAGCAGTCGCCGGCAGCCGCCGCGCTGCCGCCGCACCTGCAAGAGCTGCTGTTGCAGGTCGTGGCCGGCCTGCGCGGCGCGACGCTCGCCGGCGTCGGCGACGCGCCTGCCGCAGCAGCTGCGCAGGGCGCAGCGGGCGCGTTCGATGGCGAGAGGGCGCACCTGTCCGCCCTGGTGGCGACGGATGAGCTTGATTACTGGGCGCAGCTGGCGGTGGGGCCTGCAGGTGAGACTCGGCAGCTGATGCTGATTCAGGCAGGCAGCTGCCCATGTTCGTGCTGCGCATTATATACTTGTCCCTGACTGGTCCCTGGCAAAATGCAGACATGTCTTGACCTAGAGGACTCTGTCATTTCCTTGGCATTCCCGGCAAATCTTCATGCCCAAGCGTGGCGACGGGAACAATGCGGCACTTTGCCCCCACAACGTGCGACCGCGCCCCGCAGGCGCGCCCCTGACCCGTGCCGCGCAGCAGGTTTCGGCCGCCCTGGAGCCGCTGAGGCGACTGCTTGCTGACCTGGAGGCGGGCGCCCTGGAGGGCGACTGGGAGGGCGGCCGCGACGCATGCGCGAGGGCCGCCGACGCGCTGCGCACCGTGTGGGGCGTGCGGCTCGAGGGGCAGCGGGGTGGCGCTTGGGCGGTGGTGCAGGCGCGGGTGCAGCACTTTATGGGCCTCATTGGATCGAGCCTGGCGCGGTACTGCCAGGTGAGGCGCGGCAGCACATGCGGAACTGCAGACTCCTGGTTTGCGACTGTGGCTTGCCCCTGGCAGCGGCGATGACAACCTCTCATTACGCCCGCCCCCGCGACATTTGAGCAATGTCTGCACGTGCGTGCGCCTTAACGGCGCAGGCCAAGCTGCGGAGCTTCGACCTGTGGCGCACTGCTTTTGGCCTCGTGAAGCCCCAGCTCATAGGCGCGGGGCAGCTGCTAGAAGCGTGGGCGCAGGTGCGGGCGCCTATTACACTCCTGCGCCCTACCTTTAGGCTGGGCACTGGCTGGCCATCAAGTTGAAGGTCTGGGGCCGCGTGCGACAGAAGCAGGCTGACCACTGCGGGGCGCTCGTGCTGCAGCGACGTCGAGGCTGGGTGGCTTGCTTCATTCAAGCAGTCAAAACCAGACCTTCCGATGTCTGTGGATTGCCAGGAGTGCAAGGCCCTGGTGCAGGACTGGGCGGCTGGTGCAGACGGCAGCGGACGGCGGTGGGTGGGGCCGGCGTGGGCCGATGCGAGGGCGGCGCAGCTGCAGGAGAGGATTGAAGAGGTGAGGGGGCGTGTGGATATTGATTTTGGGGAGGAGGGCGCGGTTGCAAGATTCATGGACCTAACATATGGGCTGGGTTGCCGTGTGCTGACATCAACATTGAGTTATCAAGCATGACTTCTCAAATATGATTTATTGCTATCCACTGTGCTGCAGATTTACGACCTCAGGGAAATGGCGGAGGAGCTGGTAGCCCTACTGTCGGCCGATGATTCCGCCGCCCCCGCCGTCCGTGGCGCCTTCGCGCCGCTGCAGCAGCTGCGCCCGCACGCGCTCGCGGTCGGCTCCGAGCCGGCGGCGGCGGCGTGGCGGGGGGCGGTGGCGGAGTTTGACGAACGGATGGCGTCGGTGGAGGCGCGGGTGGTGGCCAGGCTCAAAGAGATGCTTGGTGAGGGCGGACACTCACGATCACATGCCTAAGTGCTTCCACATGGGCTCGCGGATGTTGATGCGTACTGCTTTGTTTTTGCAACATCTTGCTAATGGTTGAAAATAAATTATACAACACATGCTTTGCTGGGATAATGCAGGAACGTCGCTTCTCCCCAGCCTGGCGGCAGCGACAGCCCGCCACGCCGCCGACAAGGGCGCGGGCGCCGCCGGCCAGGCGCCCGCCCACGCTGCTGCGCAGGCCGCGCTGGCCGAGCTGGCAGGGGTGGGGGCGCTGCTGTCACGGCTATCTGGCGTCGAGGCGTTGACGGGCGAGCGGAAGGCGCTCACAAAACATGTGAGTAGTCCACTGCTGTGATTCGGGCCTATCAATGCATTTCGCCTCGTCTCCTGAACGCCCCTGCAGACAGGGGTAGGCGCAGGGCCCAGTCCTCAAAATTCACAGGACCCTTGCCACTGTGTGCGGCTGCTTGCATGCCTCAACAAGGCTCAAAGAATATGCACTGTCAAACAGCTTGCTTGCATAGTGTTCCATGAATTATCATCCATCTCACAACCCAGATCGATGCTTTCCTGGAGCAGCTGCAGTCCGAGTTGGATGATCAGCGCGGCGCCGCTGCTGCGATCACCGCCGCGGCCGGCGACAGGGACGACACAGCAGATGTCTCATGTGCAGCCGATAGCTCAGTGCTCACTCGTGAGAAGCCGAGCCCCCGCTGGCGTTGGTTCGCGCCACACGCATCGGCCGCTTTGATGCCTGGCTGCCTTCTGACTGCCGGGCACTGCCACAGCATGGTGCTTGCACAATGGCATGGCGCATGGTGCTATCGTCGGAAGGGGCAAGGGTGTCAAGTGAGCCGGGGTTCTGCAGCAGGATATGTATTCACCACTCAACCCTCGCCCGCCCTCACTCCACCTTGCAGCCATTGCCAGTCTGATTTCCTGGGCAGCCCAGTGCCATGCCAAAGCCTCAAAGGCCAGAGAGGTCCTGCTCCTCTTGGCGGGCCGCCGCCGCCGACGCAGCGGCCAAGGCGGAGCTGTGGACGACGACTCCGGCACGCGCCGCGCGTCGGGCGAGCGCGCTGGCGGCAGCGGCAGCGGGCCCACGGACGGGCGCGCGGGCGCCGCTGACGTGGCGGCGTGCTTGGGGGTTGCCGATGAGCTTCGCAAGGAGCTCGATGCTTTCAGCCGGGAGACGCTGGAAGAGTGGCAGGTGGGCAGCAGCCGCCAATTGAAACCCGCACATACACACACATGCACGCAAGCACCCCCCCCCCACACACACACACACGCACAAACACACTCGCCTCAACATTAGCAACCAGGGGTTTGAAGGGTTCACCTCCAGCTGCTAGTTTGAATCTACGGCGCTGTTCTCTCTGTTGAGCTTCCCGTCTGCCTGCAAAACTGTCCCAGCTGCACGGGGACTAAACGACTGCACGGATCCGGTGCGCCCGAATGCCGTCACCCTGCAGGAGAGCACGGCGTCATGGCTGTCTGGCGTGGCGTCCTGGAAGGGGTCGAAGCTGATGTCATTCGACGCCGCCAGCCGCCACGTCAACGCCCACTTCAGCGAGAGCCTGGTGGTGCTGCTGCGGGAGGTGAGGAGGGCGCCTGCATTTGAGGATGTACCAACACCGGGCAACAGCATTGAGCAGGTGCCAATGCCTTGACTGATGCATCAATGGCACAGCTGGCGGCGGTGTCTGGGGCTGGCTCCTGCCCCAATGTCATGACTGTTCTCTGACCCTGGGCGGAGCAGGTGCCAGCTTCACTACACGTGTGCACACCAGCCGTGCCGGCTCATGTCATAGGCACTTGGCCCTCATCCAGATGCTGTACCAACGGCAATGGTCCCATGCCAAAGCATGCCACTTGCGTTCCTCCATTTTCCACAACCAGGTCCGCCAGCTCCAGGCGCTTGGGGTGCGGCTGCGCAAGGACATCATGGCGGAGGTGGAGGTCGCATCAAAGTTTTACCGGTGAGGCCCCCTCCCGGCCCCTCGCCCCACCCCTGCACCTTTCCCACGGCCGCGCTTTGCCCACCCGCTGCCCGCTGACCTGCACGCTTCTGTGCCCATCGGACAACGCACGGCGCCATTGGTGCTTGCATGAGCAACACATGGCAGCAAATGACAGCGTCGCAAAAGGCTGCGCAGGTTCTCTGAGGGACCGTACTGTGTGCCCCACCGCCGACCGTCACGCGTCCCACGCAGTGCCCCGCACCCCTTATGCCTCAACAGATACGGCATGGTGCTGCGGCAGTGCGCCCACTTTTACAACACGATCGGCTCGCAAATGATAGAGAGCCAGAAACCTCTGATGCTGGCCGACGCCCTGGAATTCGAAAAGGTGGGAGCGCAGAGATTGCAGCGCTCGAGCGGTCCGCCACGGCGCCCGCCTGGCGCAGCTTGCAAGCCTTCTGTTGCGCAAGCGCTGAGTCATCAAATTAGTCTCTGCCGCTGCGTCATTCGCTCAAAGCCCGACGGCGCAACAAGCTCACTTTTTTTAGGGAATGGTGATGGTGGGCTTGTGGTCAAACACGTCATGGGTTTCGCATGTCACACGTATTGCCGCAGGTGCTGACCGCGCCGAGGGACGGCCAGGGGCGCGAGATCACGTGGCGCAGCGCCGCCGCCCTGGACGGCTACGTGCGGCGCCTCAGCGAGGTGCGTGTGTGTGTGTGTGTGTGTGTGTGTGTGTGTGTGTGTGTGTGTGTGTGTGTGTGTGCGCGCGTGTGTGTGTGTGTTTTTGGGGGAGAGCGCTGGCTCTTTCTGTGTATTGTAGGGGCGCGCAACCAGCCGCTTGTCGTACCCCTATCCTGCAGACTGTTGTCAGGTCATGCACGAACAGCTAGCCGGCCAGCCTGCGCAGATGCACCGTTCGCGGGCCCGCGAGGGGTGCGCATGCGAGCATCCAGGCCGGCCGGCACCTTCGACGACGCCCACCGAACCCGGGCGTGCCCGCCAGGTGTCCGACCGCCTGGCGGAGCGCAACCGCCGGCTGCGCGGGGTGCACGGCCAGCTGGGGCGTGTGGTGGTCGGCCTCATGGAGACAGACCTAGTAAGGCACAAGGACAGGTGCGTGTTTATAGGTCCATGACGGGGTGCTGCAGGATAGTTGCCTTTCCAGTGCTGCCTCTCAAGGGAGGGGTTGGGGGCGAATGCATTTTGCAGGCTCGTGGATCGTGGCACAGTTGGCCTGGTCAAGTGGTGTCCAGCCTTGATTGCCATCTGCCGCTCTCCTTGCATGATTTTCCGTGGGCAGCATCATGAAAAACAACGTATGATAACTGCATTGACGGCTCCCCCCCCCCCCGGGCGCCCCCCCCCACTGGACCAGGTGGGCGGCAGGCATCAAAGAGATGCGGGCCGTGTTTGCACGCCTGGAGGCAGAGGGCTACCCCCGCGAGGCGCAGGTCAGCCCCTGCTCCCTGCGAATTCTCTTGATCCCCTTCCCTGTTGGGTGTCGCATATTCGGCCGCAGTTTCACGTGCATCAGTGCATTACATTT